TAAGTACCTCTATATTTTGATATTTATGTGATCGATCTAGAACTGATTTTATGTGACTATGAGTGGTTATGTGTTTTAACCTTCTTGAATACCTAACACATGTTGTGCCATTATTTTTTTGAGATTTGTGTGTTAAAACCTTCAGTGTGTTTGAAAATCTTCGTTCACATATAATTTTTTGGATTTCTGCTATTAAAGAATATCATAAATTGTTAATAATGTCGGAAGTGTTTGATTGGTGAATTTTGATTTAGACTCTCCTTATGTGTGGATAGATTATACATGTGTGTTGATGAATCACTTATGTGTACCTTATATGTTAGATGATTAGTCTTGAATATGTTACTACATTTTACTTATATGTCCAATTGATGGATTCTAATGCTGTGGTAGCCAATTCTTGATTGCTTGAATAATGTGATTATGATACAAGATATGTTTAACTTGATGAAATTTAAATGTTATGTGAAACTAACTTGCAATTCAAAAACTATGTGAGTAGGTTACCAGGGAATAATGTGATATTCTGTATCGGTGGATTCTAATCATATGCTCAACTCCCTACGTAATCTATGTGCTCGATTCTTACATGTCCGATTTCCTGAAATAATTGACTAAGTGTGCTATTAATATTATGTGACATGTATGGTAGTTTATGTGACAAAGTATGATCGACTTTTGTTACAAATTAAGTACGTGTGCAATTTAAATTCATATATATATATATGAATTACATGATTTTTCTACGTGTATGCATTAGTTTAATTAATCTCATATGATATGATATACTTGTATGCATATGTGTATGCTATTACATTTATGATGTTCAATTTTCTCGATAATTGCATACATGTAACTAAATTGTTATTGTAGATTCCATTTTGAATTCATAATGTTGTGCTTAGACCAAACTAGGTGTCTATAGAATCTAATCGAGCTATTTGCCTTTAGCTTTCGATATTTGTTATTTTGATTATGTGAACTGTGTGAATAGTCAAGCTTTCTTCGTAAATTATTATACTTTTAACGACTCTCGAAAATTTTGGGTTTATTAGTATAAACTTCTTTAAAAAGTATTTTCTCGAAAATAGTTGAGACCGTTTTCTAATTTTAAAATCTCGAAGTTCTATTTTTGATAAAACCTCTCGACTTTGTTGGTGATTGAAAGATGCACGTTTTAAAATATTGACGAAGTTCTTATAAAAGATTTTGTTTCAAGATAGAAGCAGCTTTATGACAAAATATATCCTGAAATTTTTTCATAAACTCATTGACCCGCTTTTCTATGGTCCCAACTATGTGCGAATTGTGATACTTGGGTTTTCGCTATTTAAACATTCAAAGTTAGCTGTAGGATAGTATATGATTACGTGACTTAATCGAGATTTTGAGAATTGAAATTGAATTTTATGAATAAAGTGTTCATTGGTAGTGAGTTTCATGCATTATGTGATATATTTGAGTCCATTCCATATGCCTAAGTGATTTATTATGTGCATCATAATGAAATTATTTATTTTGCATGCTAATCACTTTGGTTGAATCTTTTGAATGGGTCAATTGTAGAAATTATTTTTCAAATGATGATTTTCGAAAGTTTGATTTTTGTAAAACAGATGATTGCTTAATAATATTTGGATTTAGAAAGATTATGAAATTTAGATACTTTTTTTAAGCAAATGGTTTGAAAAAGTTTTTGTTTGAGTAAGATATGCATGGATTGAAATTTAGGATATAATTGATTTCAAATGTTTTTGAAAGCTGGATTATTTAAAAAAAATAAAAAGTTTCAAAGTTTTAAAGTTAAATTCTTACTATATGAATCATGTGTGTGCATTTTAGAGTATAGTTTGCATCTAGCATTTTTGGTAGAATCTATGTGGATATATGCGATGCCATGTATTGAAGTTGATGATATGTATCTTGTGTGGAACTTATGTGCTTTTTTAGTGGTGCATTCATTAAATACATAAAAAGCGCACTGATTTTATTTGCATGTTTTCAACAATGCATGCAAACGTTTGTTTCTTCAAAAGGGAAAAGATTATCTCAAAATCAAATTTCGTTTTCCGAAAATTGGAAGTCTAGATGAGACTCATTTAGGATTTTTCAAGAGCAAATTTTGATTTCATAAAACTATTGGGTAAGAAAATTGTTTAAAAGTATTCCAAAAAAAAAATGTTTTTGCTTTAACAAAAATGAGCTTTCTAGTAACAAGAGTTTGCGAAAATCTTTTTGTGAATCAAAGTATTACTTATCCAATTATGGAAAGTAATGAAATTTTTCATTACTCGACTTCATGATAAAGTACTTTTCAAATTTTGAGGACATAATATATTTAAGGGGGGGAGATTGTAACAGCCCGCATTTTCATAAGCATTAATATATGATTTTATTGAATATATATGAATACAAGTGCATTTCATGAATCGAGTAGTAACTTATACATTCTCTATGTGTTTATGTAATTTAGATACATTATAGTATTTTTAGAAGTAGACATCATTGTTTTATTAATTGAGTAGTTGATTCTAATTATGTGATTAAATGAATCAAGTGACCATCTATGTAACTCATGAAAATGCACGAAATTTCATGGGTATTTAAAATGCACGAAATTTCATGGGTACCTATATCTTTCTGTTTTCTTTAATTTGATATATTTTAATCATCAATCGGATTTCGGATGATTAAGATATTAATGATTTACTAAACCTGCACAGTTTGTGAGTCAGCTGAGGATTTGCTTTTAAAATCGATGTTTTCCTAGTTTGATTTCCTTGATTCTACTTGGAATATATTTATAACTTATAAAACTAGTTTTCTGCAAATTCTTACATTAGTTTAACAAAAGGGTGATTTATTGGGTATTTTAAAAGTGGTTGGTTCTGTTTCTGAAAGTGTGACCACACTCCTGCACTGTTTTACTCATTTCTCTTAGTCTACTAGTTATTTTGGAAAAATGTTTTAAAGCAGTCTTTTAAACTCATACAGAAGTATTGTGTCAAAGGTTCAGAGGTTTTAAAGTTATGGTCTAAGAGAAATGTATTTTTGAAGTTAAAGTGTCAAAATTGTCCGATTTTCCTATGAGTAAACTACTTGAATCAAAACGTCCTTTGTGAGCATGGTTTAAACTCTTGAGGCATAACTTAACATAATAGTTGAACATAGATGAAGTTTCCCATGAGTATTGAGCTACATATAAGATATATTCTTAGACTAATCTATGATTAGAACAATAAGTTGTTCTTTGAACTTACTATGTGCTAGTACTTATACTGAATTAGATTTCCCGATGATTCTTTAAATAAGAAGCGTTGAATTTAATTATGTGTATTTGAATTATGTGATTTACTGTTGTGAGGTATAACAATGTATATGTATAAGTATATTTATATGCATATCGATAGTTTAGACCTATGATGTTATGGGCGTACTCTCTTCGGGTTGAGGAAACTTATAATCCATAGTTATAAATTAGAGTATATACGATAGGTATAAGTATATATATATATATATATATATATATATATATATATGTATAAGTACCTATGTGTATATACGTGTACAAGTATATGTGTCTTTATTACTAATGTTTGATCTATATGTGCTTACTATATCCTCGGAAATTACTTCCGAATTATGTGATTTAATTCCTTCGAATTATGTGAATGATATAATCGGAATTATTATCGTGTTGCTATTAAGATCTTTGACTTACGTGCATTACTTACGTGCATTCATCGAGTCATTAAATGGTATTGCATGGTCTAATATAGAAAGGTCAAAATTGTAACGTTTCTACGGTTGAATAGACACGGGATACGGGGGGCCGTAATCCCTACAACAGTTACTATAGAACTATAGGGTGGTTAGCTCCCACTGAATGACCGGGCTCAGCATATAAACGTCTATTGTCGATGCTTACGTTAGGGTTTTGATAGGGATCCCAGCATGTGCATACTTGCATACGAAAGATTTTGAAAGAAAAATGGTTTTAAAAAGAGTTTTAAAAAGTGGTTTTCATTCTAAAAAGGGGAACTTTGTTGAAAGGGATATTTTTTCCAAGACGAGTTCCGACATGAACTACGAAGTGATTTCTAAAGGAAAACGAATCCCCACATGATTTTCAAAGTGAATTTCAAATGGCCTTCAAAAGCCAAACCAGACTTTTATTATGTGCTCATATGTGAAATTATATGTTTAAGTATTTGTGGCATGATTATATGTTGTGATTTACGTTGATGAAATAATATGATATAATATAATTACTACATAAAATCCTTAGATGAAAGAGAACATAGACAGGGACTTTAGGATTTCCATAGGTCGTGAGTGACACGTTGAGAGAGGCGTGAATTTCGTCAGGCCAATGTCCTTACTGAGCCAGTGGTTGGGCTCATGCTTTTATTTATATTCCCTTTTCAGGTTCTTGAAACAACTAGGATGCCGGCGGAGGGGAGTTCGAGGAATTGCTAGCCTTGGTGCCTTGACTTTCTTACCCGGATTTTTACCACGTCAACGATTTCTAAAATATCTAGCCAACATATAAATTTTTGTAATCTGATTTGGGAACCTAGTCTATTAAACAGGAGTATGTTAAATAAAGTTTATTTTCCTTCCGCTGTCTTACGAATGTTTTCCAACAAATTAGCCACCTCAGAATTACCAGACAATTTCATCTTCTCAGCCAAATCCTCCAAACAATTCATTCCACCACTCCAATAAAAACCAGCCGAAAACTTCTTGTAATCGATCCGTGGGGCCCGCATCCTCTTATCAATCATCTTTTCCAAATACCTACAACTCTCATTCAATCGCCCCTGCCTTACAAGCCCCCCCACGAGAACCGTGTACGAGTTCTTGTCCGGACGAAACCCTCTCCTTTTCATCTCCTCCCAAACCGCAAGCCCCATTTCGCAATCTCTTGCGACAAAGTACGATTTCATGATCATGTTGTAAGTGTGGACCGAAGCTCCGACTGCACACTGCACCATCTTCTAGTATATCTTCACCGCTTCGTCGGGCATTCTTCTATTCACCATCATCTTGATCAATGCATTGTACAATCGGCCATCGGGCTGGCAATTTTTCTCCTTCATCTCGTTTAATAACCCATAAACTATATCCATATTTTTTTGATTCGCAAAACCAGTCATCAAACATGTGTACACCGCAGCATCAGGCCCACATCCAGAATCGACCATCTCGTCAAAATAGTCTATAGCTTCTTTTAAGTGGCCGTGTTTGCATAGATTCTTGATTAATACAGAATAACTCCTAACAGTAGGAAGTGGGCCCTTACATTTCATTACCTCGAACAACTTGATTGCATCAGATCTTGTATGACTCCTCAACAGCCCTTCGAGCATTATATTGTGGGCTACGATATCGGGTTTAAACCCTTTATCGATCATTTCATTCCACATTCTAGCGGCTTCCATTAAATTCTTGACCGTGCACCAACCGTTGATCAAGATTGTGTACGTTTTTAGATTTGGGGCGAATTTGTGCTCCAATTTCTCGAACAACGTTTGAGCTTCTTTTGCGAGCTTGGCCCTACCCAATGCATCGAGCAAACAATTAACGGTCTCTATTCCAACCTTGAAATTATATTTCTTCATCAAATCGACAATGGCAACTGCCTTTTTCCTCTCCTTTGCAGCGGCGAAGACTTTGATGCACATGGTGAAGGTCTCCATCGTGAGAAAACCCTTCTCTCCCATTTCATCGAGGAGAGAAACCAATGTCTGGAATTGTCTGGTCTTTCCAAGAATGTTCATCATTGCATTGTAAGTGGTCGAATCATGAGAGAATCCAGGTCTATCTCCAGCCCAACGAAAGAACCGAAACGCGGGTTTTCGAGCATGATTGAATCTCTGCAGCACACACAACACCAATTTATGATTCAGATTGATCCCACATTCGTCTAAAACGGCCTATATGTTCCTATCTAGAGCAAACATTTCGTCGATCACCTTGCATACTGTTTCCACCTCCTTCAAATTGGCCTCGAATTCGGCAGAAGCTGATTCATTTTCGATGTCGCTCTCGAATTCGGAATCGGTATGGACTGAATTGACATCGCTACAAAAGGGCCTAATTTTATTCAAGCAAAGTGGGGGATTTTGGTGTGGGATTATTGCCGGCAGGCATTTTTTAAGAGAGAGTGAAGAGGGGTATGGCAGTACAAACGGAATTTGACAACGAGTACGATTGATGCTACTACGAGTAAAAGAATTAAGCAGAAAATACATGGGCAGAGAGCTACCGTCAAATTTCTCTCTTTGAACTCCTCGCCCTCGTAACGGCGTGTCTTGTCCGTGGACGGGAGAGTGTAATCCTGCGGCGAAGAGTGACGGTCGGCCGCCATCTCCGGCGAGGAATTTGTGGACCTGTGTGGATGCGGAGAGCGGCGATTTTCTTGAATTTCTTAAATGAAAAGCCATTGGGTACCCATTAAACAGGACGAGAGAGGAAAGTAGTGGTTGAAGTATCGATCGGAGAGGATTTCTAAGCTTGCAGATTTGGTGGCTGGTCGCAGTTCTGCAACTCACGAGTGAAGAAGATGAAGAAAAATTGGCTATTTATTGGGCTTTGTTTTGCTAAAGTAAATTAGGTCTAAATGATATTTGGTTTTATGTAATTCTTAATTGGGCCTGTTTCTTACGAAGGGTAAAATAATAGTTTTGGTCATGGAATGCCTAGGAAATTGTTTCTGATCGTGATGCTAAGTTCTTGAGTTACTTTTGGAAGACCTTGTAGTGTAAGTTAGGAACAAAATTATTATTTTCTACTACTTGTCACCCACAAACGGATGGTCAAACTAAAGTAGTAAATACGACTTTGTGTGCCTTGTTGAGGGCTATTATCAAGAAAAACATTAAAACACGGGAAGAGTGTTTACCACATGTTGAGTTTGCATATAATCGAGTTGTTCATTCTGCTACTAAGTTTTCACCGTTTGAAATTGTTTATTGTTTTAATCCTTTAACTCCAATGGATTTAACTCCACTATCTTTATGTGAGCGTGTTAACTTCGATGGAAAGAAAAAGGCTGAACTTGTGAAGCAGATTCATGAAAAAGCAAGGCTCAATATGGAGAGGAGAACAGAACAATATGCAAAGCAATTGAACAAGGGACGTCGCAAGTTGGTTTTTGAACCTGGAGATTGGGTTTGGCTGCACATGAGAAAAGAACGATTTCTAGTACAAAGGCGTTCTAAGTTGATGCCGAGAGGAGATGGTCCTTTTCAAGTTCTCGAGCGAGTGAATGATAATGCGTATACGCTGGACTTGCCATGTAACTATAATATTAGTACAACCTTCAATGTTGCTGATTTGAGTTATTTTGATGTAGGTGATGATTTCAGGACAAATCCTTTTCAAGAGGAGGGGAATGATGGAGGTCTCACTAATAGTTGGCAAGATGATCCAATCCAACTCCCAACGGGACCAGTAACGAGGAGTCGAGCTAAGAAATTCAAGGAGAACCTTGCTGCATTGGTCCAAAATGTCTTAACTAAGAAAGCTTCTTTCAATGGTGATAAAAAAGGCTGGATTATGCATATTCAAGTGGCGGATTCACCGGACAAGTGTTGGAACCATCCGGGCTAAAGATCAGTCCAAGTTGAGCAAGCAGGATGAAGACCAAAGCCGACCCTACCTTAAATTTGTAGGTTCATCTCTAATCAGTTCATATTAGTGTGTTTATGGGCCTATTCTATTAAGACCCTCCTTAATTTCGTGGCTCACTTGTTTAGAGCCTTTATTAAGTAGATTTATGTTTTATTTTCCATTCTTGAAGACTAAGTTTTGGGGGGCTATATATATGCCTTCTTATTAATTGTGAAATACAACTTTTGATCATTAATTAAATTGTTAGATTATTCAATCTAGTTCTTTAAGAACTCTGCAAACATATCGGAGGATTCCGTACGTTCACCTGACTTATCAATCAATCTTCCACAATTGATTGTGGCGTCTTCACATACCAAGGTTCTTGTCCAATTATAGACAACGGGTCGCGGTTCCACCCCCTTTTGAATCCTTCTTTTGGACGGTCCAGGAGTTGATAACCGAAGTATTGTTATCGGGTCTAGTCACATGGTTGGCGTGGTTAATATTAACTCTACTGTATCTTTTTTATCTAGTGTTTTAGCTGTTGTTTGTTGATGCGTATGAAAGTCCTAGTGTTGTAGTTCGTGTTTTTAAGAACGTTGTTGCGAATGCACTTTTGCGAATGTTTTTTTACATGACGTTTGAGCATGTCCATTTGAGCGAGTGTGTTTGTGCATGATCGTTGATTTGTATTAATGTCCTAAGATTTTAGTTTGTGTTTTCATGATTCTTTTTCCGAATGCACTTTTGCGTGAGTACTTTTGTAACACCCCACATTTTCGAAACCCTAAATCCCTAACCAAAGTTCCATAACCCGAAAATTCTCACGTAGGAATTATTATGAATTTATTTACCTTATTAACTTAAATTCTTTAAGTGCTTTATTTACTTAGATTAATAATCCTTATATGCTGATTCGATTATATGCCTTATGTGCTAGGAATTCATTGAATAATTATGTGCCAGTTTTATTTCGATAATTATGTGCTTAAGTAGATTAATTATTGATAATTGTGTGCTAGATTAAATTATGTGACTTATGTGTATAAGTAATTTATTTATATGATTTCATGACTTAATCATAATTTCATGCATAATACATGCATATATACGTACATGTATGCATTCATATATGCATATGCTATATAAGCTATGTTGCTCTAGACTATAGGTATATGTATTTATATATGTGTGTGTTTGGTTTATGTGAGTAAGAGAGAGAGAGATTAGTGATTTTTTTATTAGAAAATAAAATTAGAAAAGATGCATGCTTGTCCACATGTCAAAGTGTGATGATTTACACTAATCCAACACTCAATGTGGATTAGTCATCCCAAGACACACCCTTCCTTCTTCTTTTCTCTCCACCCCACTCCACACTTGTCTTCTCTTCACCATCACCACCGAAGCACCACCTCCTCTGAATCTTTAGGACTAATCTGCAATTTCTCAAAATTTCGGCATGAAAAATATTTTCATCTTTAAAATCTCAGTAGGAGTAAGTGGAATTTGATTATTTGCTATTTGGCCTTAGTTTTGGATTAATATTTGTTGGGAAAATCATTTTTGGCTTCAACCCTACTTGCCGAGTATTTTAAATTTTATAAATCCGATTTTTTAGGAAACTGCAAAATTCTTTATGATTCTGTTCATTTAGTCAGTTAGGCAGTCTGTTATTAAATTTGAGAATTTTTAGATGCTATTTGCTATTATTTCGAAATATTGCTTGTGCATGTGTCATAAATGGAACTTTTGTGTTTTAATCATTTTGCCTTGTGTATTAATTGTGAGAATGTGAATTGATGGTTAAAAATCTGCAGCTGAACTATGTTAAGGGGCTGTAAGAATTTTAATTCATTTAATGAATCAAAGTGGGAGAAATCCCATAAATGAAAAGATAGAAATGTTGGTGCTTTAAAGGCATGGTTTGCTAATTAAATTATGTTTTGGGGCTGCATGTTATGTGTATGTGTGTGTGCCGTGTGTGTGTGTGTGCTGATGTGTGTGTGTGTTTTATATAAATATATAATATGATAATAATGTGAATTATGTGCTATATTTAAGTGGTTATATATATGTGTGTGTATGATATGTGTGATTGCCGTGTGCATATGTGTATATTATGTGGATAATTTGATTTATTCGTATGCTCGTTGATTGATATTTGTGATGTCGTAAAGTTTTCATTTCTTTTAGAGTCTCATTCGTCTCATGGTCTTGCATAAAAGAGATTTCATTTTTACGAAAGGAAAGGTTAATGGAATGCTTGGGTTGGATAAGTCGGGATACGGGGGGGGGGGGGGGGGGCGGTATCCCAACCATAGTTACTATCGATAAAGGGGTGGTTTAATTCCACCAAAAGAACGGGCTCAGAATAATATGCTTATCATCCAAGTGAAGAAGTTAAATTTTCACGGATCCGAACAACAGAAAATGTTTTCATTCATGCATTTGCACGAAAAGGGTAAATTGGTAATTTTCAGCATTTGAGTCGATAAAAAGGGTAAATTGGTAACTTTCAGTATTTGCATCGATTTACGTGCTTAAGTAAAATTTCTTGTTTATGTGTGTGTGTTCGTTTGCCGACGAATGGTAAGGTGTGATGCGTATGTGTATATATTAACATAAGTACGTAAAACCATATTTTAAAACCTTGTCATCCATTCGGATTTCTTACGTGGCTTAATAGCTCATATAGATACTTCTTTGATTGCAGGTAGTAGCAATCCCACGCCGGAATGGACCGAGTAGTGGATCGGAGTCTTGGCCGAAGCTTTTGGAGGGTCGTACGAGGGGTCTATAAACTATGCTTATTTTATTTTTGGTGATGTAATTTATAAACAATTTCCGTATTTCTGCTTCCTTAAACTCTAATATTTTCTCGTTAGGGAAATTAAACTCTTATTCTAGTACGGGCCTTATTTTGATAATAATATAGTTTCTCCGCTTATTTTGATAATTGCATTTCTTACCCGAAAATCCCTATTCACCAAATGCTTTAAAACTCTGATTTCTTCTCCAACCCAAATTAAACCTATAGTTAGATAAACGTAGCACTCGAATAATAATCTCTCTTTCCCAAGTTTTTTTTTCAAAACGAAAAATTTAAACGACCAAAATCACCCTAAGAAGTTTTCGAAATTCTCAAGGCTTTCAAATAACCCAAAAAGAGATTTTTATAAATTACATTTTGGTCCTACTCGAAAGTTTTAAAAATTACTAAGAGATCCCTTTCGCTTCTGCTATCTAGAAAAAAGTTTTCCGATAAACCGGTTCGATTTATCGCCCGACCCGAGGGGGGTGCTATAGAGAGTGGTATCAGAGCATTGTTTATAGAAAACTCGTACGAACCAAAAGCCGGGCATGAAGACTAACGAGACACGATGACTCGTCCATTTGGTAACGTTATGTGTATTATATGTTTTATTTATTTATGTGCTTTACTTATAAATTGCATGATAGGTTATAGAAATTATGGCAAGACGACTAACCCGGAATTCCCAAGTCACTCCCACTAATGAACCAACCGACCATAACCAAACCATCCATAACCTCTCGAACCTTATTCGAGAACAAGCCCAAAACCACCAAAGACAAATTGACCAACTTCTCCGACGAAACCATCCTCCTCCGCCTCCTCCTGAAGCAGCACCTGACGCCATTTACGAACGATTCCTCAAAATGAATCCCTCCGAATTTCATGGTGGAACCGATCCGACAATAGCCGAAGAATGGGTCAAATCCTTAGAAGTGATCTACGACTACATGCAAATGGCCGATCGTGACCGTGTACATTGCGCTCTTTTCTTACTTCAAAACGAAGCTCGTCACTGGTGGGAAGGATTCAAAGAAGGAGTGGACCTCGACACTATACAATGGACCGACTTCAAACTACAATTCTTCGAAAAATATTTCTCCAAAGACGTACGTGCCCACAAACTGAAGGAATTTCTAGAACTTCGTCAAGGAGAACTGCCAATGCTCGAGTACATCCGTCGCTGCGAAAGTGGCTGTCTCTACGCCCCATTCATCGCTCGAGACCCCGAAGAGAAAAAGAATCACTTTATTCGTGGCCTACAACCGGAGATCCGACGAGATATCCGCATGTCCGATGCCTCGACTTTCAGACAACTAGTGGACAAAGCCCTGATGGCAGCCCAAGACGAAAAGGAGATCCAACAGAATCGTTAATCCCAAGGCACGAGTCAACGCCCATGGAAGAAGGCTAACTTCGGCAACCACAAATTCAAGGGCAACCGAAGCATACCATCGAGTCAATCTGGACTTCCACAGCCGCCCAAACCAACTTGTCAACAATGCGGGAAATCACACTTTGGAGCTTGTGTACAAGGGACGAACATGTGCTCTAGATGTAGAAAGACTGGACACATAGCAAGGGATTGTCCGAACGCTCCGAATTGTGCTCAAGGACGTGTGTTTGCTATGATAAATGAGCAGATTGAGCAAGATCCCTCAATGATAGCAGGTATTATATACATTTTCGACGAACCTGTCTATGCCTTAATTGATTCCGGTTCTACTTACTCTTTCATATCAGAGAATATGATTAGAAGCCTTAAGATCAAACCTAGTCACTTTAATCACGACTATAGCATACTCATCCCCTGTGGCGAAGAAATGATCTCAAACCTAGTAGTGACCAACTATTCAATCCGAGTTCATTCGTAACCTATGAATTTCGACCTCATTGTCCTTCCGATCCGCAATTTTAATATCATTCCAGGAATGGATTGGTTAACCGAATATAAAGCCCAAATTGACTGTGCCCCGAAGACAGTTATTTTTCCTCTTCCAAACGGCCAAATCCTAAAATTCCAAAGCCAAGCCAAAACATCGATTCCAATTATCTCAGCCATAAAAGCTGTCAAACTCATTCATAAAGGGCATTTCGGCTATCTAGTAGATGTCGTGAATCCCGAACCCGACGCGAAGCCTCAATTGCCCGATGTCCGAACAGTACAAGAATTTCCCGACGATATTCCCAGACTTCCACCCGATCGAGAAATTGAGTTCGAAATCGATCTAATTCCCGGAGACGCACCAATTTCCATAGCCCCATATCGCATGGCCACACTTGAATTGAAAGAATTGAAAGATCAGATCCAAGAGCTGCTCGACAAAGGTTACGTTCGACCTAGTCATTCACCATGGGGAGCCCCAGTGCTGTTTGTCAAGAAGAAAGACGGATCCCTTCGTCTTTGTATCGACTACCGAGAGCTCAATAAAATCACTATCAAGAATAAGTACCCTCTTCCCCGAATTGACGATCTGTTCATTCAACTCCAAGGTTCTTGTGTCTTTTCCAAGATTTATCTTCGATCGGGATATCACCAACTTAAGATCAAAGAGTCCGAAATTCCGAAAACCACCTTCCGAACGAGATATGGCCACTACGAATTCATTGTCATGCCCTTCGGTCTAACTAATGCTCCCGCCGTATTTATTGATCTCATGAACCGAGTCTTTCACCCGTATCTAGACCAATTCGTAATCGTCTTCATCGATGATATTCTCATTTACTCCAAGAACGAAGAAGATCATTCCTCTCACCTCCGCACTGTTCTCCAAACTCTTCGATCTCATCAGATGTACGCCAAATTCAGCAAATGTGAGTTCTGGCTATCAAGTGTCTCTTTTCTTGGCCACATCGTCTCAGCAAGTGGAATCTCCGTCGACCCCAGCAAGATAGAAGCAGTTTCCAACTGGTCAATTCTGAAGAATGCAAAAGAGATAAGGAGTTTCCTCGGTCTAGCCGGTTACTACCGCAAATTCGTACCAGATTTCTGGAAACTCGCCTCACCACTCACTCGACTCACTTGAAAGGATGTCAAATACCAATGGATCCCAGAATGCGATGCTAGCTTCACCGAACTCAAGAATCGACTCACCTCTGCCCCAATTCTATCACTACCGGAAAGAACTGGAGAATTCATAGTCTACAACGACGCCTCGAAGCTAGGGTTAGGAGCCGTACTCATCCAGAATGAAAAAGTTATAGCCTACGCCTCTCGACAACTCAAGGAGTACGAACGGAACTACCCGACCTATGATCTCGAATTAGCCGCTGTCGTCTTCGCACTCAAAATCTTGCGACACTACCTTTATGGCGAAAAGTGCACCATCTACACCGATCACAAGAGTCTTAAGTACTTTTTCACTCAGAATGAATTAAATATGAGGCAAAGAAGATGGCTCGAACTAGTCCAGGACTACGATTGCGAAATACTCTATCACCCGGGTAAAGCAAATGTCGTGGCAGACGCTCTTAGCCGCAAATCAATCAACGCCCTCGTTATTCAATCAAATCTGACAGAAGCAATCAAGACCGCTCAACAAGCCGATCCCCAAGTTCTCAAAGTTCGCAACAACCTCGAATCCAATCCGAATTTCTGAATCTCCGAGGACGGAATGGTCCGATTCCAAAGCCGCATCTATGTACCTAACGACTCCAAGATTCGTCGACTAATCCTAACCGAAGCCCATCAAACCGTGTATACTTGCCATCCCGGAGCAACCTAGATGTACAAAGATCTGAAGAAACTCTACTGGTGGCCCGGAATGTAAAGAGAAATCGCCCAATTCGTCGCCGAATGCCTAGTGTGCCAACAAGTCAAAGCAGAACACCAATGACCCGGAGGTATACTGCAGTCCAATCTGATTCCAGAATGGAAGTGGGAAGCTGTCACAATGGACTTCGTTCAAGGGTTTCCAAAGACCCAAAGAGGATCCGACGCCATTGGGTAATTGACGACCGATTAACCAAGTCCGCTCATTTTCTTCCCGTTCGAATGACCTTTAGCCTAGAGAAACTAGCAGAGTTATACGTCCGAGAAATTGTCCGACTCCACGGTGTTCCAGTCTCTATCATTTCTGACCGAGACCCTCGGTTCACGTCCAAATTCTGGTAAAGCTTACACGGAACTCTCGAAACTCGCGTCAATTTTAGTACCGCTTTTCACCCGCAAACCGACGGTCAATCCGAACGAACCATCAAAACCCTAGAAGATCTACTCCGCGCTTGTATTCCTGATTTCGGAGGAAATTGGGAATCACGACTTCCACTAATCGAATTCGCCTACAACAATAGCTTCCAATCATCTATCGGAATGGCACCGTACAAAGCTCTTTACGGTGGCAAGTGTTGATCCCCACTCCATTGGGATGAAATTGGAGAAAGAAAATTCCTCGGCCCAGAGCTAGTCGAACAAACCGTCGGAATAATTCAGAACATTCGAGAAAGAATGCGTACCGCCCAGAGCCGACAGCAAAGTTACGCCAATTCTCGAAGAAGAGATTTAGAATTCGAAGTTGGAGACTCCGTATTTCTTAAAGTGGCACCTTTCAAAGGAGTAATGCGATTTGGAAAAAGGGGAATGTTAGCGCCTCGTTTTATCGAACCCTTTGAGATTCTCGAGAAAATCGGCACCCGAGCTTATCGTCTAGCCCTACCGCCTAACATGTCCAATTTCCACAACGTATTCCATGTGTCCATGCTCTGTAAATATATCCGTATCCCAGATCATGTTCTAAAACCCGAACCTATAGAATTAACCCCCAACCTAACCTACAAAGAAAAACCCTCCCAAATCCTCGAATACAAAACCAAAACCCTATGTAACCGAACCATTCGCTTAGTTAAAATCTTGTGGCATAATCATACTTTAGAAGAAGCCACATGGAAACGCGAAGAGGAAATGCGTAAACACTTTCCGGAATTATTCGGGTCAGGTAACAATTTTGGGGACAAAATTTTTTAAGGGGGGAAGATTGTAACACCCCACATTTTCGAAACCCTAAATCCCTAACCAAAGTTCCATAAACCGAAAATTCTCACGTAGGAATTATTATGAATTTATTTACCTTACTAACTTAAATTCTTTAAGTGCTTTATTTGCTTAGATTAATAATCCTTATATGATGATTGGATTATATGCCTTATGTGCTAGGAATTCATTGAATAATTATGTGCCAGTTTTATTTCGATAATTATGTGCTTAAGTAGATTAGTTATTGATAATTGTGTGCTAGATTAAATTATGTGACTTATGTGTATAAGTAATTTATTTATATGATTTCATGACTTAATCATAATTTCATGCATAATACATGCATATATACGTACATGTATGCATACACATATGCATATGCTATATAAGCTATGTTGCTCTAGACTATAGGTATATGTATTTATATATGTGTGTGTTCGGTTTATGTGAGTAAGAGAGAGAGAGAGATTAGTGATTTTTTTATTAGAAAATAAAATTAGAAAAGATGCATGCTTGTCCACATGTCGAAGTGTGATGTGATGATTTACACTAATCCAACACTCAATGTGGATTAGTCATCCCAAGAGACACCCTTCCTTCTTCTTTTCTCTCCACCTCACTCCACACTTGTGTTCTCTTCACCATCACCACCGAAGCACCACCTCCTCCATCGGCCAACACCTCAAAATTATTCAAAAAAAAAAAAAGTAAAGAAATCAAAATGCAAATCCCCTATATAAGCTTCACCCTTGTATATGCTAAGAACACCATAAAAAACACTTGCCCTCTTACGGGAGATTTTAACTCCTCCCAACTTTATATCAAAGCTCTTACCTTCTCCATTCAACTAGCTTGGTTCAATCTTGGAGCCACTTCTTGAAGGAGGTAACATTGTATCCTTGTGTTCTTCATTTTCTTCATCCTCCTTTTCTTTCTCTAAAAAAACTCTTTTCTTTTGAAGGTTTTTTTTCTTTCTTCGGCCAACACTCTTTGATAGGTAAGAAATCTCAAATTTCTTGCTGCAATCGAAGGGTATCATAGTATGGAAAAGGATTTTCGAAACTACCTAAAAGATTTCTTCACTTTTCGAAAAAAAAAAAATTAGGGCTTTTTGTGTAAAATCCGAAATCTTGTGCGTATCTTGGTATTTCTGTTATTGCATGTCTAATCCATGTCACAATCTGTGAATCTAAGCATTTTGTGTTTAAAGGTTGAATATTACGAATATTTGGGAATTTTGGAAAAAGAAAATGACTTTTCAAGATTTTTGGGGTTGCATGTGTAGATCTATGAATCTTTAGGACTAATCTGCAATTTCTTAAAATTTCAGCATGAAAAATGTTTTCATCTTTAAAATCTCAGTAGGAGTAAGGGTAATGTGATTATTTGCTATTTGGCCTTAGT